ATTAAATTTTATAATTAAAAATTTTCTTGTTTTACATTTAAATTTAAAAATAATAATTTTTTAATAAATATATTGTAAAATATAAAATATATTAAATTAAAAAATATATCAATTATTATACACTCAAAAAATACTCAATTTTGTCCCTCCATCCATTTTACAGGTAATTTATGTCATTTTCTATTGTTAAAAACTAGACGTCAACACTTGCAAGCCCTTTTAATTATTTTTTTTGTCAGTTGTTGTCACGCCCCAAAACCCAAATTCGAGGCGCGACAAACGCCGTACGCTCGTGAGAAGGTCCCACAAATGTACAAGGCTCAAAACTTATCATATCATAATTTGATACCACCAAAATCTCAAGGTCAAATCTCTTGTAACTAACAATTCATTCAATAAATTTATAAAATCTCCAATTAAAATCTAGTTTACAAAATCATGATCTATATCTAAAATCTATATCAATCTCAAAATGGCTAGCCTTCTAACTCGTCACTTCCCATGGTTTCCTATCCTCGGTTTCGTTTCCTGAAATGGTGGACAAGGAAAAACTATGAGATAAACTCAGTAAGTAAAATATGGATTGCCCTTAATTAAACGTATAGCATGCCAACAAGTATAATCACGAAAAACAGTTACAGTGCGAGAACGAAATAGATGTTTCCTCTATAGGTCACGGCCAGTGTTATAAACCTCCCACTGGCAGGCTACAGAATTTGCTAGTGTATAATCCCACTAGCAGGGTCACTAAAATACTAATGTTTAACAACTCCCACTAGCAAGAGGAACCGGCTCTACAGAAATACATGTCGACATATGCTAGCGTTTAACCCCCACTAGCAGGGTTATCAATAACATAACCACATCGGAGACAAAACAGGCAAAAATTAATAGAAAAATCATAATTCACCAATCACTTTCAAATCATCAGGACAATCAATTAAATTTCAAGTAGGCATGCTCAATTTAATAAAAAACATAAAACATTTCACTTCAAATCAGTCATACTTACTTTTGTATAAAACGGGTTTAGTCCCGCCACCACTTTAAAAACAAATCAAAACATGCTTTTAAAAACTGTCTGGGCATTACCATAAATTTACTTACCTCACTCACATAAACCGAAGATTCGATCTCAGTGCTAAACTGACAGAACGATCAGAAACCTAATCAAATATTCAAGAATTAATTCCATACTATCACAAATTCAAAGTGAAATCATCATGACTAATCCATAATCAGGATGTTATTCCTATCAATTTCCACATGATCAAATATCTCCAAATTTATTATTATATCACAAATTAAACATTTAAACCCCCGTTAATTGTTGACCCTTGGTGTGTGAACAGTAATCTTCAAACAGTGCCATGAACAGTAACCACGACGTGAACAGTAACTCCAACTTCCAAAATTGGCAAAACCATAACCTATTCTCACGGGATTTTCTCCAAAATCTCACAGCAGTCAATTAAGCTAATTTTCTACATGGATTAAGCTAAATCATAATCTAATTATTGTCAAATTTCTCCCCTAATTAATCTAGAATTTCGGACACACATGGCAGCAATTAAATGGGTAAAACTTGCACTTAGAGAAGCTCCCACATACCATAATTTTCCAGCTGCAGAAACCGAGCTTGGCTGGGGGAGAAGCCGGCGGCAATCTGCAGGGAAACTCACGGAATTACCCAAAATCTGGAGAAACAAGAGAAACTAAGGCAACCCAAGCCAATTCAAGAAAGAAAAGAGGAATTTCGGGTTGCTTCTTACCCAAAAACCGGAAAATTCGCCACCCACACCAACAGAAATTCGCGGATAGCAAGGGAGGAAGACGCAGAGCAGAACAGATCTGGAATTTCCAGCAAGGGGAGAAGGTTCCAAGGCTCCAAATCCGGTTTTTGGACAAGAAAAGAAGGGAAAAATCCAAGCTTCCTTACCAATTTTCCAAGTGGGGCTGTCGGCTTGGCTGGGTTCCTTTTTGGGCTGCAGCGGGAAGAAAGGAGAAGAAGATCAGAATCGGGCAAGGCTGGGGAGAAGAAAAAAAAAATCCTCCGATCCTTATCCAAAATCTTTTCCCTTTTTAAGCCCCTCAACTTACCAAATTTTGCTATTAAGCCTCAATATAATATTTTTCTCCAATCTGATCCTTAACTTAATGCTAAAATATCACAAAATTTTGGAGTATTACAGTTGTGGAACCCACTACTGCCATATCATCTCCCCTAGCTTTTTCTCACATAGTTAATAATCCTCATGGGAGGGGCAGCAGCTCCTTCGCTTACGGTCACCACCATAGACTGTCCTCTTTGCAAGCAACGATAACAGAGTCCCAACTAGAAGCTTCTCAAGCTCTGCGAAATGTCAGTAAATGGTTCATGTTGTGCGAGAAGACCAATCTTTCCATAATAACTTATGCTATTAAGGTTTAAAACATGAAAGAGCAAGACAAAAGAATTGAAAGAAAGGCATTTTATTATAATTTAGATATATGTAAACAATTATATATAATAACTTTCATATAGGTGATAAGATAGACTATATAAAAAACAAATTATTACATTCAAGTATTTAAATATAATTTATTCATCAAAATTAAAATTAAATATATTATTTGCCCGTTAACCATCCGTAACGCTCTCCAACTAACTACATTTTCACGTAGAGAACGTGTTAACTTGTCATTGGCACGTGATGTGTCACACCCCATTGTTGTGTCACGTGTTCCCGTGAACACGATTGAACGACTCCAGTTTTGTAACGAATGTCGATGGGGTCAGACAATTTTCATGTAGGGTCTACACGAGATTTCAGGGACAGTTTCATCTACAAAAATAAAAACACAACAATTACAACTCAATTTTACCTAGAATTAAATAAGTATATAATAGCATTAAATCAATAAATATATATAATATTATAAAAGAGGTACGTACGTCCACTCCTATAAATACCAAATGTAGTCTCACTGCTCTATCCAAACACAAACGCTTCTCGAAAACCGTCGGAATGCAATCGAACTTCCATTTCCTTTTCCTCTTTATTTCTCTCCTCCTCCTTCCTCTCATCTGCGCAGGCGCCAGTGCAAGCCTCAGAGTTGGAGGATGGCAGCCAATAAAGGATCTGAATGACTCGCACGTGAAGGGGATTGCTGAGTTTGCGGTGACGGCGATCAACAAGCAGTCTAAAACGAATCTGAAGCTGGATAGCATTGTCAAGGGAGAACAACAGATCGTTTCAGGAATCAATTACCGACTGATTCTGGCCGTGAAAGATGGAGTGCAGAGTAAGAGTTACGAGGTTACCGTATGGGAAAAGTCTTGGGAGAATTTCAGGAAACTCATCTCATTTAAACCTGCTATAACTATTTAGAATGACGAAATTTGTTCCCCATCAAAAATTTCTATTAAGGTGGCCCCTTACCATCTGTAATTCATGGTAGAAGTTCCATGGCTCAAAAGAGCCACCAGTTTGGATATATAGTTTTAATTTTTATGAGTCCAAAGTATTTTATAAACATTTGATATTGTTTGAATTGTAAAATACTTTTTTTTTTCATTTTATAAAAGTTCTATTTTTTATTTTAGAATATTT